TGAAGATACGTTTTCAGACTAACGAAAGAATTATCCCAGGAATGCCACTTGTTGTGCGTCACTAAGCAGCTCACTAAAATGCCTACCAGGTAAACAACTGAAGCGATCCCACCCGGACCATGCGGGATTCAAAACAACGATCAGCTGTAAGCTACCTCTTTTTTGCGATTTTTCCCATCTGACACTGGTGTAAACGAGTGCACGGCAGAACGGTCAGCTGAAAGTCTACCGGCCGTAGTATATCTAGCATACTCCGAAACTTGCCCTACCCCGTTAACTAATGCCTAAAGGTTTTCTCGTGCCCATTTTTCGGATCCTGACGACTGAAACTCCAGTGTTGTTTGAGTTACCCGTCTTGTATGTGAAAACTGAGGCTGATACGAGGAGTCATTACAGAATTTTGAGTTTCACCATTAATCCATTGCACGCGATTTACCCTAGTGCTATTCTCTGTCTCTTGAAACGACCACAGCTCGTACCTTCTCGGAGACGTTGTGGTTGAAATACACCTCAACAAACGGGCCAGAAAATGGTCTCTGCTAGGTAGTGGCCTCATAATGGGGTAACGAAGGTAACGCTGTGTGTATAAACAACAGTTTCCACTCTCGTTTGTCAAGGCTGGATACGAAAGAACCTCAGAGCATTTTCAAGGGTTCGTAGTTCAGGAAAGTCTTCCAACGCCGAAGAGGAGCGTTTGTGGTTAAACGAATGGATACCGTGATAAAACTCTGTGGACATTTGAAGTCAATACTTCTGGGAAACACTCATACTGATTCATTCAGTCAATCCAACTCTAGGCTCAGCCAACCCTTTGCATTCCTCTGAAAGGTATTTGATGGATTATGGACAATAAGTTCCATAGTTGCACAAAGCATACCAAAATGTCGCACAAAAAATATCCTTAGCTTTACACGTACCAGCATTGTCTTGCCGTTTCCTGGTGGGCCAAAAAGTAACACACCACGAACAGGTTCACGAAGGCCGGTAAATAATTCCGGTCGGAGGGTAGGAAGTATGACAGCCTCGGTAAGTAATTGTTTGGCTCGATCATTGCCAGCTGTGAACGAGAAAAAAATATAGAATGTGATCGGGAAAACAACAGCTGTGCTCGTAGTGCAAATTCAATCTGATGAACAGTTTTCGTTAGACTCCTGCAACACGTATAATCCGGAATACAAAGATCAAACACCGACCAGGGCCGGGCTCCCCGAAATACACTAATACACTGTAACGGACATTCCCTTGTTCTCAACCAATTCAATTTGTCTAGTACATCCGTGTTCACTAGATCACGCGACTGTGCAGTAATAACACCTAGTAATTTGGTACCAAAGCTGTGCACCGCTTGATAATATCCTGGATAAACCTCACTGTAACCGGCGATAAGAGCGATAATAATATCTATTCAAAAAATCGCACAAGTACCTGGTGACGAATTCGTGAGTTATTCATTGCGACTGACTGTATCAAGGCAACCTAGGGTGTCTATAATACATCTATAGCGCCTCACCTGACCATCCCACCAAGCACTTTCTTGAACACAAACTTCGCCTATGGTTCAGATATCTTAGAATTGTTAGAAACCTCTCAACAGCCCACCATCTGATTCACCTTTTTTGGGCTCATCAGGTAGCCACAAGACAGAAGTTTCGTTCAAACTGATGTTTAACTTTGCCGAAAGGCTACGTAATTGAAGAGCAGATTTACTGCCCGTGGTTCGAAACCGAACTATGCATCTCGGCTTCTCCTATCTAGGCTTGGGCACACTGACAGTATGTTGGCTCTCGTGCTCCCTTCGGGTGACATGAAAGCTAGGCACCGAAAGTGTTACATTGCTAAGCATAATAGATGCATTCACACCGAAACTCAGGCGTAGTCAGAGCAGCAAACTTACCAACATCCGCCAGTGTAACTGAGGAACAATCTTCAACGACTTCATTGAGAATCCGAGTAACCGCGCTGCTGCTCACATTTTTCACTTTTCGCAAGATTGTGTCCTAGAATCCATCCAACAATTTCCAAAGTGGGCTGTGAACTAACCTTTGACGGAAGTGTTCGGGAAGATTTCTTCTCAGCGGAGGAGGCTGCTAGTTGCTTCTGGTAGTGTTCGTCTGAAGAAGCAAGAGGGTACAGTCAAAATCAACGGGTCCGTTCCGTTTAATGGTCATTTAGGTTAACACTGCCACAACACAGGATGATTCGCCAAAATAAGTCGCAAGCTGTTCATTACAATTGGATAAAAGCGCCATCAATATGCGAAACAACTTGCATGTTGAGTGCGCACTCACATGATTCTCGTTTGAGCCATCGTCGTCCTGTCCTGGCGCAATCATTCTCGTGAAACCACACCAAAAAGGGAAGCACTGGACTCTAGTTTAGCTCGTATCAGAGCTCAGCAGTAGTGCACATCCTTGGTCATGCCGGGGTTTGAACTCCACACATCTGACTGGGGAGGCGGGCGTGTTACCACTACTCCACCAGAGCACGCTGGACGCATCTGAAATTTTACGTCTGAACAGGTGAACATGTTCGCGCTTCGGCATCGGGCTTTCCGGCCAATAGGACTTCCGCATAATTTGAGCTCACATTAGCAGTCACCGTACGAGAGATCTCTACGTAAGTGTCCATGCGCAGTAACCAGTGTTGTCGTTTGCCGCATCCTGGTATGTCACAGCCACAGGGGTCCTGACATTCGTCTGCTCTATTGCTGAGCCCCAAACAGTTAAAGCATATCTTACGTCCGAACGGCCTTCCAAGCTTTCTTTCAGTGCGCTTCGTTGGTCTCAGTGGCGCCGTACTATGTCATACACTCCTTGACGGTGAATCAGACTCTACCTTACTGTCACTTGAAATCGCAAATCAGATTGAGCTGAGGCGTATTCCAACAGAACTGCGGTCTAAATTGATTAACGGAGCATAAAAGAGAAGACAACGACTTTCAGTTTAGCAGCCAAATCCTTCAACAATTATTGTCGGGTGCATTTAGAAACCCCGAATTCCACCAACCAGTCACCCCCGAAAAGACCAACATTACCGTCTCAAGAGTTACTCCGTCACTGGCCCCATCTACTAGACACTACGCTTTCTCGAATTGCGTCCGAAAAATATCTATTCTGATAGGTACCAATGTACAAGATGTACACTGGGCGATAGAACAGCATATCGGGACCATCAAGGAACCACATGCATCGTCAACACCATTTGTTCAAGTCACCTTTGGTCCATCGGGCATTGGCAATGATAAAACCAAACGAAGCATTCTCTACTGTGCGGTCCCGTTATGTGATCCCTTGGAATACGTTGCGCTCCTGTTTTTACAACCAGAATAATTATTACAAGGTAGGCCGATCAAAATGTGCCTGGGATGCAGCAGTCGAGTGATTTGTCGGCAGCCGAAATTCCGGTAGACGTGCTGCTCTCGTACTGTTTGTCATCGGAAAGGCTGCAGTAAGCGGTTGCTTAGTTTATCAGGTTTAAATCTCCTTCCGCAAAAAGAGGAGGAAAAGGTAACGCACTAAAGAACACTCTGCAGCTCGAAAAGCTGAAGGAAGCAGAACAAACCATACTGCAATATGTCCAGCTAAAAAATTCCCCACACACCTGAGCACCACCTATAAACTAGACACGAAGTTACACAGCTATCTGTGATAATTCACTAATTCGCAAATTTTACCGCATAATCTTCAGTCGTTTATATGTGTGGGTGGCCGGCTGCACGATGCCCTGTTATTCTTCCAGATCACTTAGCGGCACAAGTCACCGTTAACCACTATCATCAATTTGAAGGTGACATCAGCACTTCGCATGGCATAGCAGCTATACAATTATCATCACCATCATCGACAGCAGGATATCAGCGTTCAACACCAATGATTCACAGTCGTACAGCCATGATTTATTTGAAGGCCATATTGTAAAGAAAAGAGTAAATGTGGACGGGGAAGGGACTTAGTGCCAGCTTACCACAATCATTCCGAGGTGCCTACACCTCCAGACATCCACTCAAGCAATCTGAATAAAAACTGACAACAAGAACGCCACTGACATCGGTTGGCAGCCACATCTTGTAGTGCCTCCAACCAGGCGCACTGGCGACCACGCGGTCCCCATCCTGCAAGGCGAATAGCGCCGACAGCTCCCAAACATATCGTAGTCTCCTTCATGCCCGTCTGCTAGGTCAAGGGTTCGCCACCTTTCTGCTTCCGCCACTCTGAAACGAGGCATGGAAAACAGCACTCTCTTCGGCAAGCGATGGTTAGGCATACGCAACACATGTCCCAACCAATGCAGCTTCTGGTGCTGGATACATTCTTCGATGGAAGTACGTGTTGTACAACCGAAAACTCGCTTTCTAATCGCCTCGCTCCGGATCCTCCAACACCAACCCACACGAGCTGTTGTTCTAAGACAACGATTGTCGAACACCTGAAGACTTCTCAGTTCCGCTGCTCGAACAGGCCAAGTTTCACAGCCATACAACAAAACAGCCCGCAGTATAGCTTGATACACACGTCCTTTGAGATTCAGGGATACACCACTTTGACGCCATAGGTGTCTCAAATTAGCAAACGTGATTCGAGCGTTGCAGATTCGTGCATTCACCTCATCAGAACTAATACAATTTCCAAGACACGTAAAACGCTCCACAATTTCCAGTACCTCTCCCTGGATTGTAAGTGGCATGTTCATCGACTACATGTCCACGAGCATGACCTTAACCTTTGTGGGTGCAAAGTGCATACCAAAGGAGGGAATGGCGTTGGTAAGTTCATCCAAAAACTCTTACGCCTTCTGCTCTTCTCCGAAGACGAGAACGATGTCATCCACATGTTCCAGATCGATAAAGTGTTCTTCACAGGTTATTTGAACGTCGGAGTTTTGGAGACCTTCCAGCGTTCGTCTCATGATTTCATCCATCGCAAAGTCAAATAAGAATGGAGAGAGTGAGCATCCATGACGGACAGTGTTCTGTGTATGGAAGCTTTTGGAAAAATCGCCGCAGCTATACAATAGCAGTATTTGATCTTACGTGCCACAACCGCCGTCAAGCGAGTCACCAAGGGATGCATGGAATGCAAAGTAAGGTCAGTCCTTCCGGCTGGCATATCTTTCGGTTGCCAAAGTCCCTTTCCAGCAACCGGTCTAGACTACTTCGGGGCGTTCCAAGCTTACCAGGGCCGTATTACAAGAGGGCAATATGGCTGTATATTTACGTTTCCAGACATTTCGATACACCTAGAATGGGCTTATTCGTTGTCCACTGACTCGTTTGTTATGGCATTTTCTAGGTTTGTCAGTCGACCAAAGCCCCCAAAAGAAGTGTATGGTGATATAGACACTAATTTTGTTGGGGCGGAAATGGAGTTGAAACTGCAACAAAGTCACAGAGGGGGCATTTAAGGGAGGATGATACAGTCGATTCGACGTGTTCTTAGTAAAGTTTCTCGTAATAAACGTTAGCAGAAGAATCGCTCATCTGACGGAAGCGGGACGAATGCTGACCAAACGCTCACTGGTCCCCGTACTGGAAAGTTCTGATAGCACATATGTACTGAACCTGAGACATTTATTATCATGAGCCCTATTGGTTAAGAACTAGGAATAAGATACCGATATACGCAGAGAAGGCTGTCGACCAAAACCTTCCGGCGCCGCTGAATGAAAGAAAACATCCCACTGCTTCAGTCGCGTAATAAGTAGGCTACTATCAAGAGGAACAAGTGGGCGATTCGGTATTGACAATTGGGGAGCGCGTGGTACCTGGTCGCAAGTGATTGTAACAGCCACTATACCTGGATAGGATGGATGCATCAGGACTGTGGTGCTCAAAACCCCCGATGGTCCAACAACTAGAGATATACGGAAAATATGCATGCTAGAGGGGGGATGAGCCATAGGCGTACGGTCAATGTTGGGAACATGAATGTAGAAGGTAACCGCGGCTAGAGTCAATTGCAACACTTTCGCCTCTCATTCTTAGTTGTGTCCGTTGCTGAGTAGGAGTAGCTTAAGAATTGCCTAGCTGGCCTTGGTGAGGGGGCTAACCTCCACTTGATCAAACCTTCCCCTTGCCTGAACCCACTATTTTCTGCCCCTACTTCACAGACTTGTTACACACTCGTAACCCATCATGAACCGTTGACGCTTGCCACATCGAATCAATTTTGGTCAATTTTTTACGCGCGTTTTTTACAAGTTGCATTACCACGTGTTCTGCGCACACACCCGTTACTAATTCAAATCGACTTGCCGTCTTCTCTGGGTATACTGTTTCTATAGGGCTTTTAAAACGCAACCGTTCGACTGTAGCACCCTTCGTTACCATGCCTCCGAAGGAAGCACGAGTGATGGGATACTGCTAAGTTACCCAAGCCAAGAGCAGTTGTGATGCAGAGGTCGGGATCAAACCGCGGACCTTCTGGTAAGTAAATTCGCGCTCTAATAAATGAGCCATCTCGCCCCCCTCTTCAAAAGGCGACAGTCTGTGGACGTGTGCCAATTCTAGGCTTGGGCAACCTGACAGTATCCCAGCCCTCGTGCTTCCTTCGGGTGGCATGGCAGCTAGGCACCGAAAGGGTGCTACAGCTGAACGCTTTATTTCTTTACGCGTGTAACAATTTAGACGGAATTTCTCATAAACTGAGATCTGTATCCCTTTCACATATGTTTCTCTATGTATGCAATACCGCATTTTATTGACGAATCTTCAGACATCGCAATTCTTAGTTTGTGGTTTCACGTGTTAAATGTTCAACAATGAGTATCTTCTGTTAGATCATTCCGAAATGTGCTGCTTTCCTTTTCAACCTTTCGGTGGAATGTCTATTCAGTGTATCGACCACAAGTGTGACGTTAGAGTAGAACGGAACAGACCCAAAGACTAATCGGGGTGTGTGGTCAGTGTGCTGAGGTCCGTTGTAACAGGCTTTTTTGGTCAAAGTTGGACTACATCTGCAGGGCGTGTGAATTTGGAAAGCTGGAAGATCAGACGAGCGGAAAAGTCTCAAAGTCACACANGAACCTCTGAGGCAAACGTTTCTTCCGAACTGCACATCAGTTTACAGCTATCTAATATTGCCGTTATTAGGTGGAAACCACAACCGTGATTTTCTCGTTTTTTTTCATCACCGTGGAAAAACTGCACGAAGTTTCCGGTCAACCTCGACAATTTCAGCATGTTAGCATGAAAGTGATGTGGACAGGACAAACAAGTTGGAATCAACCTTAACGGTTTTACTAGAGAGCATAAGTAATATTTTTGGTCCGCCGAGCTTTGGAAAAAACGTTGTCCACTGCTTCAACAAAAATCTCCATCTTTCCTCGGAATGAGTTTGGTGTGTGACCTTATAGTGACCTGGCGCGACGGAGTAACAAAAGCTGGTCAAAACGACTGAAGAAATCTCTTGAGGAGATCGAATCAATGGTGCAACCATGGATTTCACCGCTTAGAGTATCTCTAAATCACAGTGTGGTGAAGAATTGCTCTGTATGTGTTTGAGCTATACCGAAAATCAAACCTTACAGTACGAACAATTATTGTGTCGTATCGTTCAGTTGTAGTACCCTTTCAGTACCTAGATGCTATGCCATCAGAAGGAGGTACAAGGGCTGGGAAACTACCAAGCTGCCCAAGTCTAGCCGGGGGAAGTCAAGAGGCAGAGGTCGGGTCCGAACCACGGGCCTTCGAGCCACCTCGCCCGAACGAGTAGGACTAGGCAACTGATATATAGTGGATGTCAGACTGCTCAACAAACGTCGATATGGCCTTTAAGACGAACTTTTCACGGGCAAATGAAAAAATAAAACTGTAACCAGGCCGAAGCCTCCTTGCCCTGTTCGTTTTGATATTTCTCCTAAAATGCCCTTATTCGGGTCCAGAAGCATCTGTGAGCTTTTGGGAGTTCTACGCCTAAGGTGATACTAAGATGAGTTCCCTTGGTCGAAAGGAAATTAAATCGAGACCGGCCAGATACACATATCTGACATTTGACTTCCGGTTCTCAATCTGTTGCACTACCTGTAAGAATCGATTGTTTTGCCACCCGTACAATAGTTGATAATAAGTTCCTCATGCTGACGGTGATAAAATCTACGTCTTAAGTCAACCTGCCGCGTTAAATCCCCTTGGGTTTCCATTAAACTATACCATTTCATGGTGGACTCAAAGTACAACCTGCAGTTGACATCTGCGATCGGCAGCAGCTGCCACCAAAAGCTTCTCCGATAATGGACACCAGCCACGCAGGTGAACTCATACCACGTAAGTAGCAACTAGCATCTACTGTATACGGCTCCGACAACCTTGCCGCTGTGTCTAGCATTAGGGCCCTCGAGCCGTATTGCTTTACGGTAGGTAGTTGAACGCGAATCAAAGACATTTATGTTCCATCCGAGCCGCGTTGATTCTCTATGGCACTGGACTAACATATGGGGCCGTTAGTGGGTTTAAACTGGCGGGAAAAACCAGCCCAGCTCTCGTGATCAAAAGCATCAGGAAGCTCAGATTCCTGAAAGCAACTGCAGAACGC